GTCAAATGTTTAAGCACAGTTTTCTTTAAATCTCTGTGTAGCATTCACACAGGTTTTATCTTTGTCTCTTTTTATGTCTAAATTAACTCTGATAATCTCATACAATGCAAGATTCAATATCTTTTCTTAGCATGTTGTTGGAGACAGAACATTACAAATATTTCCCTTAAAAGCAAAGCATCAATATAGTGACAAAGTGTGAGAGAACCCACCAATGAGACTATGCAATATAAAGAGTCCGAATTTAAGTTTTCTGCAGCCAGATGTTATTAATGTATTGCTATGCTTTGAATGTGTCCCCCAAATTTTATGTGTTCGAAACTTAATCTCTAAATTCATATGTTCATGGATAGATAGATAAAATCATCAGAGTGGGGCCCCTATGATGGGACTGGTGGCTTTATAAGAAGAGGAACAGAGACCAGAGCTGGCACAGTCTTGCCCCCTCACCATGTGATGCCCTGCACCACCTCCCGACTGTGCAGAGTGCCCCCCCATAACCTCTCCCCCCACGCCCCCCACCCCGCAAGAAGACCCTCACCAGATGTACCCCTTCAACCTTGGATTTCCTAGCCTCCAGAACTGTAAGGGATAAAGTTTTTTTTCTTTATAAATTACTCAGTCTCAGGTATTCAGTTATAGCAACAGAAAACAGACTAAGCTATGTATTGATTTAACATCTAACGTTTTCTGTTTCTTTTTTTCCCCAGTGGTACATATTGTATGCTCATGCCCATAGCTAATATTCAGAATGTAGTTATTTCTTAAAAGAATGCAGAATAGTAGACTGTAGAGTAGATACCTAATCAACCTAATTGTTTTGTGAGAGGTAAGAACTAATATAACTTAACCAATTACATTACAGAAATCAATTTCCAACCTCTTAATGTTTTAATTTTCTAGATTTCCTACCTAATTCAATCATAATGATATATCCTGTAGGAATAGACATACTTGGACTAAATCAAGCATAAAAACAGCACCTAAAACTGTTTTCTTTGAAATATATTTCTCTCTAAATTGCCGTCAAGTTAACTGCTAAGAATTATTTAAATTTAGCTCCTTTTGGACTTCCAGTGGCCAGAAACAATAGGAGTGTAGAAAATGTCTAATGGATTCAATGGTAATTCTGTGAATTTCTGAAATAGTATAAATACTATAAGCCTCAAAAGCTAAAACGGAAAGCGCACGCGCACACACACACACACACACACACACACACACACACACACACACACACACATTTGCTTGCTTAGGCACAAGATGAAAAATACCATCTCCATTTGTTGTTAACAAGTTTGTCCAGAAATTCCTAACAAAGTTTACATTGACAGAGTTTGTAGTATTGGCTGTCTTAAGATAACCAAACTGAAGATAATTTCACCAGCTTGTTTATATGTCACAGACTTCACAGTATCAGCCACCAACCAGCATGCACACAATTGCTTGTTGTAAACTTCTGGAGCCCATTCATAATATTGGGAGATCTTTTCTTTAAAAAAAATTGGGGAAAATTTCCACCAATTTACTGATTTGGTCACTTTACTTACTGTCACTGTCTTTTTTCCCTGATGTTGAGATTTTGGAGCTTCTGTGGGTGTCTTGCTTTTGTTGCATAGTAGATATAGAAGAGACATGTTTTCAAAGAATGCTCATTGGATAGACTCATGCACAGTAATAATTATCTCCTAGTTAGAAAAAGGAAAGTCTGGTTCAATCCCATAAATGTGTTTGTGCAGGGAGAGTCCTCACTTCTGAACCATGAACAATTAATCTAGCCAAGTGATTTTCTGAACCTTATAAATTTACTATATATACATATATATATCATCATTATTGTAATTTCAGACTTCACTGAAGTTGTATGTCTCTATGGGATCTTTCTTTGACCAATCTCAATTGCTTCCAGAGCATACTTACAAATAATAGGACCTTGAATTTACATAGCATCTAAGTAATTAATAAAAGAAAATTATATACAGACTGAGAATTCATGGGCACTTTACCTTTGTGAATGGCAATGTTAACTTAATGGACATATTCTTCAATGCAGTCTATAGAATTCAGAAAATACTAGCTCAGAAAAAAATGGTGTGCATTTTTTAAGAACATCAAGAAAGAACAAATTATCACTTGAAAATTCCTGTTTGTTGCTGCCATGTTGTTTTGATCAGCAAGAAACCAATGAGATTTTTTTTCTCACAAGGTTTTCTTTTTTGTTGTTGTTCTTAACTGGCAAAAAAATGTACTATAAACATTGTCACAAAACTCTGAGCATGTTTACAGCAAGGAGAGAGTCCCCTGCAGGGCATTTGTAAAACCCGGGAAAAGTCGCAAGGGTTCAAAACAGGAGCAGCCTAGGCACAGGAACACAGGGAGTGACTAGCCCTGTGTTTGTCATGTGAGTATCTGTGAAGAGAAATGTGTCTATGCATATCTGAGAGGCCACAGTGGGATTTTTTTTGTCTCCACCATATAGTAGACTTCCTAAATCAGGACAGCATGCCATGTTTTGACTTCAAGTTCTTCTTCAGCTATTTTCTTTTTAAATTACCAAAAGGCTTTGATAACAACTAGAGTCTACCTAAATTGGAGATCTTGTATGGTGGTCCTAATGGTCACTTTCTTTTCACAACTCAGCTGCAGATCAAGGCAATTTTAGTTTTAAATTGATTGCTTTGGAGATAAGATTTGCATTCAACTATAACTTCAGAATGTATACAGAGTGCAACTACTGCTGTTTCCCTCTATTGCTCTTGCTGTAGTCCAAGTCACTGTCCTATCTTACCTGGCAGGTGGCAATAGGCTTGCAGAAGGCTTCACACTCTCTAGACCGGGTAGAGCGGGCACACCTGATAAAACAGAAGTGTGAGCAGCCCACACTTCACCTGGAGCCTCACCTGGAATCTCTGTGGCTCACAGGATGTTGTATCCCTCCTGGAAACAGACTCATTGAGGTCAGTGGCAGAGAGTGTGTGGCACTGCATGCAGCAGTTTGGAGCAAATGCAGTGGCCTACACACCTGTAGGATCTGGCTCCCCTGTATCAACTCTCTGGGTCTTTTTGCTGATCTTCCAATATGCCAGGAGCTCCCTTCTCAGGGAGTTTGTAGCCCTCGTTCTTCCCTGGGAACACACCACCCCCATGGAGCATCCTAGCTGCTCCTCACCTCCTTTAACTCTTTCTTTGGCTGTAACCTCATCACCGAGATCTTCTTGACCTACTCAATTTAAAATTGCATTTCTCCCAATATCCCCTATCTGCCTTCTGTTTTTTTTTTTAATTTTAATGAATAAGCTTAATTTTTATAGAGCAGTTTTAGATTCAAAGCGAATTTAAGCAGAAAGTAGAGTTCTCATGTTACTCTCTTCCATGCCCCTCCCCCTCCCCACCATCACATCCGACACCAGAGTGGTACATTGTCACAGTAAACCTCCATTTAAACATGATTACACATCAGAGTCCACAGTTTACATTGAGTTTGCTCTCAGTGTTTGAACAAATGTATAATGACATGTATCCACCATTACAGTGTTTTACAGACCAGTGTCACTGCCCTAAAAGTCCTCTGTGCTCTACCTGTTCATCCCTTCCCCTCCCCCCAAGAACCCCTGGCAAGCACTGTCTTTTTATTGTTTTCACAGTTTTGCATTTTCCAGAATATTCTGTAATTGGATTCATACAGTATGTGGACTTTTCAGATTGGCTTCTTTCGCTTAGTCACATGCATTTAAGGTTCCTCCACATCTTTTCATAACCTGACAGCTCATTTCTTCTTAGCACTGAGTAATAGTCCATCGTCTGGGTGTACCAGAGTTTATTTATCCATTCACCTACTGAAGGACACCTTGGTTGCTTTTGGCCCTTTTGTTTTTGTTTTTCCTCCATAGTTCTTATCACCATCTAACATAATCTTAATTAACTTAATTTTTGTTTGTAGCTCCCACCTTCCCAACTCTAGGATAATCTTCCCAAAGTTAAGGATTTCTCTGCTATATCTCAGCACTTAAACAGAGCTTGCTAGTGCATATCAGATGCGCAAGAAGTCTATGTTCAATGAAAAAGTAATACAAATTTCCAAAAGGTGCAAAAGTTAATAAATTTATTTCTAACCATATGCTGTAATAAAATGTATAAAGTATATTTATAGCTATACTGAAGTCACAGAAAATATCTATCAAAGATGTATCTAAAGTGCTTAGCCTGGATTCTGGAACATAATTAGGATTCTTTAGGTATCTGCTTTCTATGAAAGTGTGAGCTCCCTGAGAACAGAGACACATTCTATCTTATTCACCTCTGTATTCTGAGCACCAAGAACAAAGCCTGGTACATAGTAGGTGCTCCAACAATATTTTTTGGATGAACAATAGTTTTCTTATTTAATAATTTGTTAATTTACCTGTCAGATGCTTTTAGTGGATCAAAGGGGTGTTTAATAATAATTTTTTTCTGAAGTAATGACATAAACACGACAATAATTCACCATGCTATTTGGTCCAAGCTCAACTGTAACTTACTACCACAATCTGAAAAATAACATTATTATTTCACCTTCACCATGGGTGTTACCAATACATTGTTTAAAGCAATGGTCAAGAGAAAATAATCTATTTATAACAAAATGTCTTATGAATATATCAAATGCTAAGGGGAAAATTCTAGGAGGAAAAAAAAAGGAATAGATGAATGTCCTCAATGGCTATGGACTTTGAGTGGTCAAAGACCATTCACTTTATAAAATTTAAAAAATAATGAAATAAAATAGTCCTCTACTAAAAGTGGCAGATGTGGAAAATATCAGTAAAGACATAAAATAAGATGACAAATAATTCTTTAATAGACACATTGTCTGGTCCTGAACAACAACAACAACAAATTAAAACAAGAGAGCCTCTATCTTGAGAAAGTATGTAAGGATGTGTTGCACAAATGAAAAATGTGACATTTTTATGGATGTATATAATATACATTGAATGAGAGAGATCTTATAAACTTACCCATCATTGTTAACATCTGATACTACAACAGTATATCCAAAATAAGATGCCATCTGCAAAAGAAAACCTTAAGATGACATATTTTGTGTTTAACAGTCATTTTTATAGTCACCTCTCAATATTCCTGAAAGATTTATCTCATTGTGGTACCTTTTTTTGCATTTAAATTCATAGATTCTTGGATGTGGACAAAGTCTTTGAGTCATTTAGTCTAACCTCTGGCACCATGAATAATTTTCCCCATAATAACCCTGACATCTGCTTGGACATCCTCTGGAGATACTCAACAGTCAGCCCATTCAACTTGTGGACACGAATACTAGAATGTTCTTTGCTAAATTAGGCCCTTCTAGTTCTTAATCCCACCTGGTTCTGCAATCTTAAATCTCACAGAAAAAATTTAATTCTATTTCCACATGAGATCTCCTATGAAAATATTTTCACTTGGTTCACTATCCAGCCCCTCTTTCTTAGTGAAACCACATGTGGTCCCAAAGAACAGATGATACTCATGAATGCACTGATGGAGGAGAGGAAGGTAGGACTTAAGCTCTCTGCTTCGGGCTCTTTATATTATTGAAGCATAAAAGCAGTTTTAATGTTGGGGGACCCCACATCTCAGTATCACTTTATATTGAGCTCATACTCAACAAAAGCTCCTAAGTCTTTTCTATGAATGTAAGTAGTGTACCATTATCTTCCCACATTTTATCTCTGAAGCTTTTGTTTTTGAACCATGTTTTTAGGATTTATAATCTTTTCAGATTTGGCTCATAGTTTCAGTCTGCCAATTTCAACATGTCACAATACTCAGGAAAACACAGGGTAGTGTTTGTTGAGAAAAACATATAAAACGTATCTCTAAGAACCCCAAAATTCAGAGCAGGAGACTGAAATATCAAGAAATGCTGATAGGGTTTCCACTCTTCTACAAATGTATTGCCAGAGCTTTGGAAAAGAAAGAATGCCAGAAAGGCAGACTAGAACGTGTGATCCATGCCTAGGACTTTTAGCTAGCTCTTTCGGAGACTACGCGCTAGCCACTGAGCCAGCATCGCACATCAAGGTAGATTACATTCCGTTCCATAAGAGCAAAATGCCACTGAGTTCCAGGGTCTGAGAACAATCTTGTTATATTGCAGGCCCTGTTTATGGTGTCTTGTGGTGAGCTCTTGGTCCCTGCCCTTCCTCCATCTAAGATGTCACTGGCTACTCCTGGATTCCACTCTATTGGCAAGAGTCAGCAAGCCTGGGCTTCCACCTCTCTCCCTTACTGTCACTATAACCTTCTCCTGATCCTCAATGTGTGGAATTTTGACAAGCTATCCCTTCTCATCCCTTCCTCCAAGGGACTAGAAATTACTCCTTACATACTGCATTAGCTGGGATTCTGTTGTGAATGGATTAAACCCTAAATTGGTACTGCCATCTAAGGGAAGACAACTATGAGTTGAATTTGTTTGTCTGGGCAACCACTCTTCTTTCTTCCTCAATTTCAATTCAATTAATTTTAGATTTATTGCTTTCCCAGTTTTGTTTGCATTTAATTTTAAATTAAATTTGTAGTTCTGTTTGTAAATAGTCATATATGAGCTACAAATACAAGGAATTTATTGAGTTTAGATTTGTCTTATATTTAAACATGGAGACCAGGAATCTATATATTACAGAAATAGATATGCAATAGTATATGATCATTGTAAGCATATGTATTTGCATGCATGTCAAATTATAGAAGATTTAATGCCACATGGAAATTTGGTGGTTTTCATTTAATCCCCAAGCTTTTTGGCACCAGGGACCAGTTTCTTGCAAGACAATTTTTCACAGCCCAGGAGGGAGGATGGTTTCAGGATGATTCAAGTGCATTACATTTATTATGCACTTTATTTATATTATTATTATATTGTCACTTGCCACTCACTGATAGGGTTTTGATATGAGTCTGCAAGCAATTGATTTATTATGGTCTCTGTGCAGTCAAACCTCTCTGCTAATGATAATCTATATTTGAAGCCGCTCCCCAGTGCCTCAGCTCCATCTCAGATCATGAGACATTAGATTCTCATAAGGAACACAAACTAGATCCTTCCCATGCACAGTTTACAGTAGGTTTGCACTCCTATGAGAATCTAATGCCTCCGCTGATCTGACAGGAGGTGGAGCTTACGTGGTGATGCAAGCAATGGGGAATGGCTGTAAAGATTAGGTTTGGCTGTAAATATTAGGTCTGGTTCCTATTAGGCCATGGACTGGTACTGGTCCACTGCCAGGAGTTGGGGACTTCAGATCTAAAGGAAGGGGCCAGGACACAGGGTGGAAGGGAATTAACATTTCTTAGGGAGTTGTGTGGGAGGGAATCCTCTAAGTAATCTACAAGGCTTGATTTATTGCATTCTCAAAAGGAGGTTGGGAGGTAGACACTATAGTCTTGTTTTGTGAATCAGGCTCAAAGACATCGAATGGTTTTCCTGTGGTGTCACACAACTCAGGAGTGGTACAGTGGGAACTGGAAATCTGATCTGTCAACTGTGGAAGTCCAGGCTCTTTCCATAGTGGGTCCCTTCTCATTTCTTAGACCAGTACTTTCATGTATTTCTAGACTGCTTCCCACTGCACTTAGAGCAAAATTCCCGGTCCCACTAAAATTGAGTGAATAGCCCTTGCCACCTCCATCCTAAACTCCTATGTCCCTAGACACAGTGACCTTTGCTCTGCTCCTCAGACATACCCAGGTGGTTCCTGTTCAAAAGTCAGATTCCTACTAGCTGTTCCCTTGCCTGGAGTGTCCTGGACAAGATAGCATAGCTGCTCTCTCTTGTCATTCACATCTCAGCTGAGATTAGACCTCTCTGACATCCCACTTTAAGAGCTTCCTTGCCACCTCCCTCCCATATTATGTTTTCTCTTTATATTCTTTATTTCTCTTCTTTATATTCTCTTCCTAATGAACTGTCCTACCCCCACCCTTTCCCTGCCACTTCACTGCTGCCTGAGATCTGGAATCTTACTATCTGATGCACTATTGCACCCCGAGGGCCTAGGACAGTTTCCAGCATGTAGTAGGTGCTCAATAAATATTTGTTGAATGAATGAATAAATGATATAAATATTATAGTGTAATATTGGCACAGAGTGACATTAATTATTTGCTATTAAAATGTCTGTACCTGTTCACCAGTGAAATTCTGAATAAAGGTCATATCTGTAGAGTTAATTATTGAAACCTGAAATCACAGAAATTACATAGGTTACAGCATTTGACATAGAATTGGAGAAATTTTTTAAAAGATTACAATTTGAATCATATAAATGTTTTTGTGAAGAGTGATAAATGGTTATCAATATGTAAAACAAAAATAAAAGCCCACAAGAATGATCTAAAAGAAAAGCCAATTGAACCATTTGTTTATAGTTAAGTCCAGGCTACTTTCAGACAAAATATGTTTATTAATTTCAGGTGGGGAAATAAAAGCTGAATTCAATAATGCTGAGAGCAAGTAACCTGATGGTTAATTTAGTTTAATCAGGATTTTTGTCTAAATCCATTTCTGTTCTCATGCTCTTATGAGAAATTTATAACTATGGCTCTTTGCAAGAAAAATGAGATTTTAAAATGCTATCCACATAGCAAAAACATTCCTTTTAATTCTACTCAGTCAACCAGTATGTTTTCTAGATACTTTTTAAAAAGATAAACTTCATTTAAAATATAAGTTTTTCTTTTCATAAGGTCTATTTATTTTCTTTTCCTAATTTCATGGTAACTGGTTGTAATGGGTTTGACTGGTGCCCCCTAGAATTCATGTCCACCTGCAACCTCAGAATGTGAGCTTATTTGGAAATAGGATGTTTGCAGATGAAATTAGTTAAGGATCTTGAGATGAAATCATCACAGGTAGACTCTAAATCCAATGACAGTTGTCCTTATAGAAAGAAGAGGGGACACTCCTAGATACACAGGAGAGAAGGCAGAAAGCCACAGGAGGACAGAGGCAGAGATTGGAGTGATGTTGCCACAAGCCAAGCAATGCCAGGAGCCATCAGAAGCTGGAAGGGGACAGTAGGATCCTCCTCTAGATGCCTTGAAGGGAGCGTGACCCTGTCCACAACTTGAATTAATATACTAGTGAAATAACAATGGATTTTACTTCTCCTGTATGAGACCGATTAGAGTGTTGATCATAACAATGGCACCCTCTGCAATTATTCCTAAATTATGCCTGTGAGTGGTGCAGGCTTCATGGGTGTGTGACTTGTGCAGTCACCCATGGCCCTGTACTTAGATGGGTCCCACCCTTGGTTTAATGCTCTGCTGTCGCCATCCTGAATTTTTTAATATTTTTTGAACAAGGGGCTCTCTGTTTACATTTTACACTAGGCCCCACTAGTTATGAAGCTGCTCCTGCACGCGGATCAGATGAATCTAGCCTCACTCGTTTTCCTTCCTTGTTAGTAAGCAAACAGCATGAATCAGTAGAAGGAGGTCATTAGTAAAGGAAACTTAAAAAGACTTAAAAGTTGCACGAAAGAAAACATTTCTCATAGATGGCCCTCAACTTACAACAGTTTGACTTTATGATGGTGTGAAATCATATAAATTCAGTAGAAACTGTACATTGAATTTTGAATTTTGATCTTTTTCCAGGCTAGTGATATGCAGTATGATACTCTTACTTGAGATATTCAACATGTTATTTTAAAATAGGCTTTGCATTAGATGATTTTGTCTAACTGTAGGCTAATGTAAGTGTTCTGAGCATGATTAAGTTAGGCTAGGCTAAGCTGTGATGTTCAGTAAGTTAGGTGTATTACATGCATTTCAACTTACAATATTTTCAACTCATGATGGGTTTATCAGGACATAACCCTATCATAAGTCGAGAAGCATGTGTACAAGAAAATATCTTGTAATGTGTTCTTGGTACTCACATATCCAAAATTCTGTGCTCCTCTTGGAACCCCGGCAACCAATTCTGGGGATAAAAATAGTCATTTAGAAGGGAAATTACATATATATTTTAAGGCCAAATAACAAAGAAGTGGTATAGACAGTGCTTTTTAAATGAGTGATCATCATGTAGAACAAGTGTCCTCAAATACTGCCCATGGGTCACGTGCGGTCCGCTGAGGGCATTTATCCAGCCTGCCAGGTGTTTTTGCCACCGCTGCCTGTCCTGCTTAGCAGCCAACTTGTCCAGGGCCCACAGTGCGCATGTGTGGAACGTGCACCGCACTCTCCAATGGCCCTCCAACGGTCTGAGGGACAGTGAACCGGCCCCTGTTTAAAAAGTTTGAGGACCCCTGATGTAGAAGGCGGGAGGCTTAAAGTCAGGGCTTTGCATTTGCTGTTGGATTGGCTTTTGCTTCTTCCACAGATCACAGAAAACAGAAGAACAAAAGTTATACTTTGTGATGTACCAGTCTTCTTCACCAGTCTCCATGCATTTCTGCTTCTAGAAGACAAGCCTGGCTTCTCAGGTCTGCATATCATTGGTAAGTTAGACCCCTCGCAATTTATTAGGGTAGTCAGGGAAGGCCTTATTGAGAAGGTAACACTGGAGCAAAGATTGAAGAAAGGGAGAAAGCAAATACTGAGGATATCTAAGGGAAGCATATTGTAGTCACAGAGAATGACCAGTGCAGAGGCCCTGAGATAGGTAGGATTGGTCTATCAAAGAGGCCAGGGTGGCTTGGGTAGAAAGGGCAAGGGGTAAAGGGGCAGGAGATGAGGTCAAATCAATCAGAGGCCAAATGAATTGATCCTTTTAGGCCACAGGGAAGACTTGTATCTTAGGCTGAAGGAGTTGGGAAATCACTGGGAGCAAAGAAGTTACACGATGTGCCTTCTGTTTCTACACGAGCACCCAGGATGCTGGATTTAGGACAGACTACGGGAAGGCAAAGTGAAGGCAGGGAGACCAGGTAGGAAGCAATTGCAGTAATACAGGTGTGAGATGGTGGAAGAAGCTTGGATCAGAGTAGAGGCTATGGAGGCAAGTGGTAGTCAGATTCTGGTTGTATTTTGAGAGTTGTAGGATTTGCTTATGGGTTGGATATGGAACATGAGAGGAAGAGCACAACCCAATACTGACTTCTCAGGCTTTTGGCTTGAGCAATGGGGAGGATAACTGCAGAGGGTAGAGCATGGCTAGGGGGAAGGTCAGGTGTTCAGTTACCAGCACGTTAAGTTTGGGGTAGCTGGTCACATAGAGACCTTGAGTAGAGATGCATGAGCCTAGAATTCAGTCTAAGCTGAAGAAATAAATGAGACTGGGCGAGATTACCAAGATAGAACTCAACTAGTAAAGAAACAGCCCATGGATTTAGCCCTGTGATACTCCAGTGAGGGGAGGGAATAACAAGGAATCATAGAAGAGGTAGAGAAGGAGCTGCCAGGGTCTGGGAGGCTGTGTGGAGACACAAGGTGGGAGTGATCAAATCTGTCAACTGTTCCCAGTAGTCAAGGAAGATAAGCTACCTGGAGGCCACTGGTTTGCTAGACAAGAGTAGTTTCAGTAGGGCAGTAGAGGCACAGGCCACCAGGAGTGGATTTAAGAGAAGGTGAGGAACTTTCAGAAAGAGCACACAGGGAGGGAGGAGCAACAGCTCTTTCAACACAGAAAAACACAGGCAGTACCTGGAGTGGGAAGTGGGATAAGTTTTTTTAAAAAAGAGAGAAATAACAATCTGCTTTTATGTTAGTGTTAATGATCCAGGAGAGGGAGAGAGGGATGATATGAGATAGAGAAGCAGGAATTACTGGAGTCCCATTTCTGAGTCACGGGACAAATGGGATTGAGCATAAAGGACAGGGTGAGACTTAGGAGCGTGGGCAGATAGTTCATCTGCAGTCATGGGAGGGCAGGTAAAGCATGTTCTTGGAGAATAAAACAGGGTTCAGAAAAATGAAGCCATCTGGCTAGATTGCCAGGGAAGCTGACGGATTGGTATTATTTGGTGTGAATGAAATTCTCTTGGCACTAAAAACAAACTGCATTCAGATATAATGAAGTTGACTGGTTTTAGGGTCAAGCCTGTAGCTAGGACAAATTCTAGTGGATTAGACTATTTGAGAAACATGGCAACTACTACTTCTCACATCCAACAAACACTTAGAATTTTGTCTATAAAAAAATCAGCCATCACCCCCAGTAATTTTGGAGCCTTCAACCTCACATGACCACAATGCTGAGGAGTTATTAAATCTGCTATTGAGTAAAGATGATCATAATCATTTATAATTGATCAGGACAGTTTAATTGCTTAGGGTCCAAGGCAAGTTAGAACTGTCACTCAAGTACAAACATATTCAGCTAAAAGGGAAAATACAAGACTTTTCTTAGATCCATTCAAATACTTCCTGGTGAAACCTTCAGAAGTTTATTAATATCCAATATGGTCAGGAAAAACATAGATCCTTGCCCTGGAAACACATGACTTAAGTATCAAACTGACTTGCGAGGAGCAGAAGGAGACTAGCATTTATTGAATGTCTTCTGTCCACTAAACAGTGTGTCATGTGCTTTATAGTATTTCCTTCATGTAACCTCTAAAATGGGAGTCATTAACATCCCATTTTGATATATGGGGAAATTGAAGTTTAGAAAGGGTGAGTCACTGTCGAGTTCCTAGTTGGTCGCTAGTAGAAGTCAAGAAGTGACAGCAAGATCAACATTCTTCCCACCCCAATAATCACTTTCTTGGGATTCGTTAAGACCAGATCATTTTCTTGGGTTTTAGTTCACCACATCTGACTCTAAAATGGGAAAGGAGGCTCTTAAACTTTTCAAGTCATGAACACATTTGAAAATTGGCAATATCAGTATCAAAGTCTGACCAGTCAGACTGAGGTCCTTGACCACTACAATCTTTTCGATGGCTTAGAATACAGAAATTGGTCTCTATGTCTGGCCCCTGCCCCATCCTTCCAGATTCTGTTCAAATGTTCCATCATCACCAAACCTTCCCTTACTCTATGTTGATACCTTTATCCTAGCACTTATTACAATTTAATTAGGTATTCTGTGTTCATTATTTAATGTCTATCGACCCCATGGAATTGTAGACTCTGAGATTAAGGATCATTTGTTCACATCTGTATGCTCAATGTTTAATACCATGCACAGAAAATGTTTGATGAATGAATGGTAAATGCCTTTGGAGAGAGAAAAATAAGATATAAAAGTTTACAGAAGGAAGCTAAAGAAGGATTTCTGGAGAAGATGAAATTTGAAATTGGCTTTAAAAAATAACATTTGGCCACTGGAAGGTGGAGGTGGGGTACAGGATCAAAGGATTGAAAAAAAAGAGGACAGCCAAAACAAACTGCAGAAGACAAAACATGGAGGAGCATATGTGAGAATAGGGATTAGTTGGTTCTGTTATTTTGAGTTTGGACATGTCCAAGGGGAAAAAAGGAAATAATGTTGGGTGTTAGATTGGAGTCAGGTGGGGAATATAGTTTTGGACATGTCCTATATGATATACTAGAAATTAAAGTAAAAAGAAGGATCTTGATTTCTCAAATTCAATCTGTCACTAACAGCATAGCTATTGTCGAAATTATTCAATCATCTGCTTATTTTTCATTCATAAAATGGGACTACTGCTCTAATTCTTGTTGCTTAACTAGACTTTATAAAGATTCATTCTTCTAAAATTCTTTAGGACTTTAAAATGCTACACCAAAGTGTATTTATTTTCCCTATGAAATATTTTCATAGACATATTGGGATTCCATGAATATACATTTTGTTTAGCAAAGAAAACCACATTGATAAAAGGACTTTTTATGTCATTTTACCTTCCCCCCCATGCTTTATAAATGACTTAAATTCAATGTGTCTCTCACCTTGCTGAAAATCTCCAGTAAATTCGCCAGCAGCAACTGAGTATCCTGTTTTCAACAAATGAAACAAGCTAACTATGCTTGATAACTTAACAAATAAGTTATATCTAGAAAAAACAACCATGTTACTGCTTTATTTAGAAATCACTACACACATTATAAAATAAAAGTTAATAAAGGGAAAAATTAATCACACCAATATAAACACTTTCATAAATAAATCTGCTACTACTGATCTTAAGTAGGAGCTTGGCAAAAAAAAAAAAAATCAGATTGTGAGGTCAATTTTAAAAGTATCAATACTGAATAATCCACCTTTAAGTGTAAATAGAAACTATTGCATTTTAAGAGCTGCTGATTCATTTTGATCAGACATGCTACTCTGAAAGATACTCTTTCAGTTTGCTAGTTCTGATCACCAACAAGGCCTACTTCCTAATTCTTTTAATGATGGTCTCCACAAATTTCACTCAGTTCTAAAGTGAGGTGCCAGCAATAGAAACAAACATAGCTACATGGTTTGTTTTTTTGTTTTCAAATTCATCAAGCAATCAAATCCCACTAGGATACCAAAGATGGGAGTAGAGGTGAAATAACATTGTGTGGTTTGCACATAATAAATTTTGAGAATATTCCAGCAACAGGAAAACCTCTTGTGCTGCTCTGGAACTGGAGAGGGGTGCTGTGATGTTGTCCCTTTAGCATTGGTAGCAGCAATGCTAACATATAATGTCTGCTACTGGTGAAATATTTTATGTGCAACAGACTGTTATAGAGCCTACAGAAGAGCTGCTCCAATTCTGTAGGTTTACATCATGGCTGAAATAATAGTCATATTTAAAAAGGAAAAAAGAGTCAACTCTAAATTAACAAGGAAAAGGAAATTTGCATAAGATGCCAAATAACATCAGATAAGTCAGGAATAAAATTTGCACCTACATTTAATATGCTTGTCTTTTGAGAAACCGCAAACATTTTGAGCAATGGATCTTACCAAGGTAAGTATCGTCATAGGAAGCTGGAGCCACTTCTGTCTGCTTTTCACCAGCCAGTTTCCTTAGAATATCCTTGAATGAGTAATTTGCAATGATATCTGCAATACTGGCAGTGATCACCTGACCTGCGTTTAAACAAATTAATACCTTAAGTGAATGAATGCAAGAGGCAGACTTTCCCTCAGCAGACACAGGATGCTTGAACGACACACATTGCCTTGAAAGCTATCATGGAGCTAACTGCTTGCATTTTTGATGATGCATTTTCCCGCCTGCAACTAGAACTACAAGGTAGACTTGATTACAGCTGGGTAGAACTTTCCTCTTTGACAAAAGTTCAAAGATGAGCTACAATATTTTGTCAGTCTTCCTGCTGCTTTCACCATATATATTCTCTCCACCTCCAAATGATAAAAGGATTGAAGAGTGAAGACACTTGCAGGCAAAATTTTTGTAATTAAATTTTTATTCTAGATTTTTTATTTTTAATATTTATTCTAATTTTTACACTAGAATATTTTAACTAGAAGGAAACTTTGAGGTCATTTCATCGAATATAGGGTCTTATAGTTGGGGAAACTGAGACCTAAAAAGCTTGAGTGCTAAGGTCCCATGGTTTTGCCACTAGGACATTTGGCTTTATAACCAAGGTCTCTTTTGGCATTCTAATACAACTTTTCTGTGCTCTTGCAAAATATAAATGTGATATTTAATCTAAATCATTTACTTGGTGAATAGATGTATCAGCTTACTTAAACAAGGAATTGCATAATCTTTGAGCCATCTGCTTTTTATGCTAAAATACAGATAGAACATAAAATTATGAAAGTAGAAAGAAGCCAGGTGCAACGAGATCCAAAATTTCATAAAAGAGAAACCCATGGCCACCAACATTGATACGATAAGAACTTTGGCTAATCTCTCTCGAATAAACTCACTCTCAGAAATCTTGAAATATGATTGTGTTAGAGTGAACAATTGTCTAAAAGACAGCCAGCAATTTCCACTAAAATTTCTATGCATTTCCATATTTTTTATGGACATCTAAGGCAAAAATAATGATCTCATGCTCTTTGGGAGAAAACTGAAGAAATGCTTTCAAAGGACTAACATTGAACATGAATTTCAAAGCCAAATTATTCTTTAGGAATTCCCACATAATTCCCACAGTCTTTCTGTTTGATGTCCAAAAAGGAATAAAACTGTCAAACCAGGTAATAAATATTTCCAAGTGATTGGAACTGAAATGACTGTTCTGATATTAAGATAATGGTATTTACACATGAATTTCTGAACAATATCTGTAGAATTTGCCAATTTTCCCTGAGAGCTAAATACCCCTCCCACATACACACTGCCTTTGCATATTTCCTTTAGTTGAGTCTATAAACATTATAACCTTAGGCCTGAATACAATTTTAAATTATATACCTCAGACAAATGCTTCTCTATGCTATTGCCATGGCAAACTTTCAACAAATCATTTGTGTCAGACATTGTTTCAACTCAAGGCGAAGAATGAATTATGTGAAATTAAGCAAGTGAGTTAGAAGAAAACATAAACATAATTTTTATTTCATATCCATCTGCTGTGTGAAATATATTGTTTTTCAGTTTGCAAAGTAATTTTTAAAATCAAAATGTTAATTATTTGATGTTCATAATTGGATATGCATGAATTAAGCTAAACAGTAAGGTCATATAAAATTTAATCATAATTCATCACTCATGGATATTTTCCACTGGCTTTTAAACATGATCAGATCTATTTAAAAAAAAAATCCTCTCTCAACTATTCATCTGTCTCAGATTCTACTTTATCTTTGTTCTAAACTTTATAACTAAAATTACAAAATATTCTCCATGTTCTATCTTTAGGCATCCCATCCTCACCTGTGGTTTCACTTATCAACAATATGCAAGTGATACAAATTTACATTTCACCCTGGATGTCTTCTCTGAGCTTAAGCCCTAACTACTTATGTGAACATGTTTGGGTATCTCAAACATTTCCATACTCACTAAACAAAAAGCAAATGTATCATCTCCCCTCTCCAACCTTCCCCAAACCTGTTTCCTTCCAGAGTTCTCTATCTCAGTGAGTGGTACCCACCTACAACCTTGCAAAACATTGCACAAGTCAGAAAAGTCGTCGACAGCCTCCCTTTTCTCACCCCAAAATACCAGTCCATCATTAGGCTGTTGATTTTGCCCCCAAAGTATCTCTCAACTTTCTCCTCTTTCTCAGTCAGTACCATCATTGCTGTAAGAAGCAAACATCTTTACCTAAAACTTACAGCTAGTTTACCTTTAAAACTTCAATTAGTTTATATCCTTATAACACTAGTTTGCTGATATTTCACTTTGGCCAACTTCCAATCTATTTCTGTATTGCAGCTAGAGTGATCTTTTCAAAACACAAATTTGATTATAGCATCTCATTCTTAAAATACTCCAGTGGTTCTCACTATTCTCAGGACAAATGACATCTTTCTAACTCTAGCTAAAGCCATTTGCTGAAACTCTTAAAATCTACCAGTGGTTTTTCCATTGCTTGTGGGATAAAGACAAAACTGCTTCCCATGGCCTGCAAGTCCCGCAGGGTGGGTGGGCCTACTCCACACCACTCAAGCTGCTCTTCTCTCACTCTCTTAACTCTGGTCACCCTGAGTTTGCTCCATTCTCACCCACTCTGCACTCCGCATGCCATAAAACATTTGCACATAATCCCTCCTCTCTTCAACTAGATAACTGCTACTCAAGGTCCAGATCTTAGTTCAGGGTTGCCTGCTTCTACATGAGTTGACCTTTGGGCTGCATATTTTGGTCAGCAGACTTATGCAGCACCTTTATAAGAAATAACAGAAGTCATCCCCTCTGGGTAGATGCTGTCCTGCACCTGGGTTCATAGGTCCTTAAGCAGAGCACAGGTTGTATCCCAGCTCCCTGTCAGCCAATGGGCAGAGGATGAAACACACCTGTGTGCAACCCCCCTGGAGAGGCCTCCTAAGCTCTCATGGCCCCATCACGACATGCCTTTCCTTCAGAGTGTCTATCACACTTACAGTGTCTCAGGTCCTCGTGTGAATGTTCAATTAATGCCATTATCATTCCCCAGATATTAACTTCCACAATGGTGAGAATATGTCTGTTTTTACCCATTATTGCATCCTTAGCATCTAGCACAAAGCCTGCAGAGCCTTGATAAATTCTTGGTGGATAAATGAATTGTTAAGTGGCAAGAGTATTTTTTAAAATATTATTTATATAGCAAAATACAAGTTGAAATGATGCTTCTGTTCTCACTTATATGGGGAAGCTAGTAAAGTTGATTCCACAGAAGCAGAGAATAGAACAGTGGTTGCTAGAAGTGGGGAATGAGGGCAGGGAGCATGGTCAAAGGTTGGTTAGTGGACACAAAAGTACAGCTAGATGGAGGAATAAGTTATTATGTTCTATAGCATTGTAGGGTGACTATAGTTAACAATTTATTGCATATTTTCAAATAGCTAGAAGAGCAGATTTTGAATGTTCCCCTCACAGATGATAAATGGTTGAGGTGATGGCTATGCTAATTTCCCCGATTTGATCATTGCACATTATATACATGTCCCAAAATACGTGTCCCATAAATATGTACAGTTATTGAGTCAATTAAAAATAATAGGAGAAGAAAAGATGCTTCATTTGAGAAACTATGAATGGGGACATAAAATTAACGTACTAGAAAGGCAACATTGGACATTACTTCTGCTTTATCTTTTTGTTCATAACAACAAACATGCTTTTCTTCTCCGCTAACAGAACATACCTTGCCAGTAAAAACTCCCAGGTCCTCCTACAATTAGGTCTCCATTCTACAAGACAGAAACAGCAACAATGATTGGAAAAGAAACACTGACAGTTTTTAAAGGGTGACAAATTATTGCTCATAAGCATTGCTCTCCCAATTTGTTACTCACGAAAAAGCAATTGAGACCCTTATATCTGAGGCCTACAGGTCATTTTCTTTCTTATTTTGCTTTCAATTATTTAGTGTGTTATCATATTAAATAATTTTAATTTGAGTCAATTAGGTAAGTTGAATGCTCTCCCTTGAGAATATATAAATTCAGTTTTTTGGCACTGCCTTTAGTAAGCAAAATATCTCAACATGTTTAATGCCGTGCAATTTAGCAGACACGGTCTTTGGAGCCTTTGTGATAAAAAGAAAATTCTGTTCCAATTTATTTCAAGGCCATGGTAATGCCTATTTTTTTCTTACATCCACAAACCCTCCTCCTTCTCAGGAGAGAGAGCAGAAACTCCACACTAGCAAATATAAAGATTTTTTTCTCATTTATTTACAGCCTACATTTTTTTAACTCTCAGTGGAAAACAAAACAAAGCCAAACAAAAAAGCAATGATAAAAACAATACAATGATAAGTAGTAAACAGATATTCTTCCTGGACATCTCTGTGTTGAATTTTGTGAAAGGATATATGAATTTTAATATGAATATGAAATCTAATCAAGCACAGCTAAGAGAGTAAACAATTAATAGATTCTTGTGATCTGTTTAGATCACATTTCTTCACTGAATTTTTGAGATTTTCATTTAAAAGTGATTGCCACAGAGTGGGAAGGAAGGAAGCTGTGCTTCTCATCACATATACTTCTGTACTATTTAATAGGCTGTTATGGGCATAGATTAATAAAAATAAAGAGAAAACAAAATATTTTAAGAAGTTGCCAGCATCTACTAGATATGTTCTTTAAGGTTCTTTGGTTATTGTCATTTGGGCAGTGTGGAAGTGAGAGGTAGAAGGTAAAAGAAAATCAGATTAAATAATAGAAGCTGCAAGACCAAGAGAATTCACCTTATAAAACTCCAGACTAAATCCTGCTTGGCAGTAACCCTGGCCTTCTGGATCAGCATTGCCTAGAATGATCAAAATATATAAATGTTATCACATCATCATAAGATATAGTTTAATAACCAATTCAGGATGTTTTGTTTTCTCTAGAGGCTTCTAAATTTAAAATGATCAATATGTAGTTGTATGTGTATTTTTAAAATTCATTCCAAGTAACTTATTAGACATTTTTTCATCTATTTTCTTATCACATATGTCACTGTGATTCTAGAGTAAGAATAGCATTCCTTTGGGTTATGATAGTGGGTTTTATAACTCACATTCATTTGAAGAAATAAAATCTTTATCATTAGACTATGTTACGAACTCCCCATGTGGCAGTAATGTGTCTCTTCATTGCCCACTCATGCCGAGTGAAGGCAGATGGATTTGTCATTTCCAACCACCAGTGATGCCCTGAGAAAGGAAGCCCTACGAATGAGGACCAGAATGCATGCTTTCTGCTGGGGCACCCACAAGGGTTTCCATTTCTATGTTCTTTAACATAGAAATAGGAAGTTAATTTTAAAGTATTCTATTATGATATGTTAGGTCAATTGGGAAATTGCATTTCCGGTCACAGTTAATCTCACTGGGACATTGCAATGCTAGTGTTCACAGAAAGGAAAGCTCTCTAGCAATGGCTTGTTTTATATTCTGTCCAATTTAATTCACTAAGGGGATGTCCAATAAGATCTGACTGAACGTGAACTATGGGAGGCTGACACATGGAGTCCACGTGTTTATATTATTATAAAAAGTCTCCAGGCCATTAGGATCAGGAATTTACTACTTGTAACTTGTACTTTTTAAAAGAGTTTCTACCTCTTCGAAAGTGCTTACATTATAGCCAAAATGTGGTCAAGTAGGGGTAATCTCAACCATTACATAGGTAGAAATCGACATGCAAATAATTACTCTTTTTTTATTGAGGATATCCCTGAATGGAAATGAAAGTAGGAAGGCAGGAAAGGAAATGCACATCATCACCAGAAAAATTTATAGGCTGGGCATGTGCCCATTCCAGAAGCTTTTTGAAATAGATCTGGCCTTTCCAGCTTTCCTTAGAATGTCTTCTGGGTTTTTTTTGTTTTTTTTTTCTCTCTCTCTTTCTTTTTTTGGTCAACACTTAGCTAATTTTAGCATTATCACCATCAATTCTTTCCAGATGTTCCCTTTGTTTTTAAAAATATTTTTATACATCATATACTATATTTTAAAATTTGTTCCTTATTTTTCAACTACATTTTGTGGTTTATAGTTATGACTCCTCTAAAGTTCTCAAAAAACTCATCTGTATAAGCTCCAATGTCTTGGTACCAGTTTTCTAGAAGTTCATGTGTGTAAATATTTATATGCATCCAGAAATATGTGTGAATACCTGATATATTACTATGTGGGCATATATCTGTTACCTTGAGCATATTTAAGAAAGATATTGCATAAACCTTTTTAAAATATCCTTTTTAAAATCAACTCTAGCCTTTTACTTTTAGTATTGTAAATTATTCAAAAGGAAGGAAACATGACCATGCTTTGAAAGTATTTTGCTTTAAAACAGGAAACTGAAAAAAAGTGAAGAGAAAATCCTAATTTTTCATAAAATTCATTGAGAAAATAATCAACTTCAAGTGTTTATTTTAAGTGGCAATTATAAAAGAGCATGAGGTTTTTTTCCTTTACAAAGTTATTGTTTTTCTTGTTGAGCTATAATTTATGATAGCTGAAAGAATCTTTCTTTCGGAACTTCAGAGCGTCTGTGAATTTTACAATTATGTCCCAGAGTGAACTCAGGAATCCAGGGAAACATGTGATCACACACCATTATTTGTTGGCTTCCACAGTAAAAAGGAAGGGTGAGGATGAATGATCCCCACCCAAATTATGAATGGCCAAAAGAGCTGCAGGCATGTCATTAACATGAATGAGCAGTATCGGTGGAATAGGTTTGTAGAATTAACATGAGGTGCTTCTTTAAATTTTGTTTTGAAAGTAATATTGTTAATGTCCCTGTTGTGTGATATTGAGCATGTGCTCATGAACAAGCTGGCTTTGTGTTAATGAGGTGTGAATGTCCCAGCCATGCCAGGAAGTCTGCTTCTTAGAGGATTTGAGGGAGAAGTATTAATAGGAATAGGGAGATGGTGAGACTGTGAAAACTGTGGCTATACACCAGAGCTGAAAGAATGGTTGGCCATTTATTGAGCTAGTCTGCAACTCAACGTGAGCTCCACTTTAACTGTATTGAGCTATTCTTATTATTTAGGAAAATAAAGAGTAAGCAAATTGGCATGATAATGTATCCACGTAACTTCAAGATGGGAGCGTACTATAATTTATGTTTTTAGATAATGGTTCAAATTCACACTGAAACTTTTTTTCCCCACAAGTCTAGATTCCATGTGCTGCATTTTAACCTTAGTTTTCACATCCCACAGGCAGTCAAGCAAAAAGGCAGAAGCAGAAGCAGTGACAGGTTTTATAAATGATCATCCTTGATGGTAGTTGAAGAGTAGAATATATATATTCAAGGCAAAAGACATGTGAAGGAAGGTTCATATTTTTAGCTTCAATAGTTTGCTGTTACAAGGAAGCATCATTAGCCAATTGTGAAATATATGATATGGATGGGTATTAACATTGATGAAACAATTTCAGTATTGAATCTCTATACTCTATAATCGCTCTACTATTCATTTTCTGAGTAAATTTGGGATTTTGTTTACCTTTTTATCTGAATTTTGTCATTAGCACAATAGTACTGACCCCTTACCAAACTCAAGAGCACAGCACTTTGGATGGAACATGCACAAACTGCCTATTGTTGGCTACTGCCTGTGCCTGGGAACCGCCTCTTCTCCCTATGCCAAAGGTCATTGCTAGAAGAATCCCTTCCTATGATCCCGTCTAAAAAGCTTCTCCTTTCCCCACTCCCTCAACATAAGTCACTGCGTCCTCTCTTGCCTTGCTATAGTACTATATGTAGCCCTTTTAACTGCCTGACATTATATTATAAACTTATTTATTTACATGTTTGTTGCCTGTCTTCCCTACTAGCATGTCAGTTCCTTGAATACACAGGTTTGTTTTTTGCTGTATTCCCTAAACTAGAATAGTTAGTGCTCAATGTGTTCAAAAAAACCTGTGTCAAGTGAATAAATCTGCAAAGAACCTCCATGTTAAAGCTATTTAAAATAAAATCCTTATTCCGTAGACTATTTATTATGACATTTGTCTTAATGTGAAGAAGTGTCTGATTTACATCAGTATTTTTAAACAAAAAGTTATAATCTTCTCCTTGTAAAAATCTTCACCCAAACTCATGAGAGTTAAAATGTTCCTCTCCCAGTTCTTTAGATCTCTAACTCTCAGGGCCTCTTTGTTAACCCTCCAATATCCCCGATCCATTCACTTTCTTCATTGTTTTATTTCTGGTATTTTCTTGCCTAAATTAATCTTGAATTTTATAATAATTCACACACAATGGGAAAGATTTACCTATAATCTCAGGGATCAAACCAGTTTGGGAGTGAGCTTTTTAAAGAAATCAATATCCTGAAATCAGTCACTAGAATGTTCTTTCTAATAACATTTCCCCCCCCGTGTTGTGTTGTTGTTTGTTATCAGTAATAATAATAATCCTCTGGTTGTTTCTTGTCGACTCCTCCCGATGTTTTTTGTGGCTCATAGCTGGCTGGGTTAGTTAACGGGCTGTGTGTGGGTGGCTGAGTCCGTCCATCCATCCATCCATCCATCCATCCATCCATCCATCCATCCATCCATCATGCTATCCCCAAGTCCTTGGGTATTCCACAAAGATGAAGTGATTGAACAGCAGTGTCCCACAGATGGCACTCACAGGCTTGCTTTAAAGGATGCTTTGCTGGAAAGTTCCTAGAACTGCCAGATGAGATTTGGACTCTAAGTGTACAGAGTATTTTTGAAAAAGGGATTAAACACCTAAACAGAAAACCATATTGTACAGATAACCTGAGTACACAGCTGGCAAAGAAAGCAACCGCTGTTGAAAACACAGATTTCAGGTTAAACAGAAACCTCAAGCATTATGTATCCCTAGGTCCAAACATGCTAATACCAATCCTGCGATAAACAAGTAAAGTAGGCAGTCAGTATTCTTTAGAACACAGGGTGTGAATTTTGAATAGACTGATGGTTTAAAGCATAAAATAAGGAACCAATCAATTCTGCAAAACATCTAAAACCAGAACTTTTCTAAAACATGCAGGAGAATGAGCAGAATTCCATGCCTTGGCCCTGCTGTCATATCAGGACACCTGCAAAGCTGTCACCGATCTTTACCTACCTCCAATGCTTTTTTCCTCGTAACCCTACAACGTATGAATGGGAGTTCAAGCATCCTGCATGCCTGTCTATAATAGAAAAGCTCTTGAGCTGAATTTCAGTTTCAAGGAATAAAAATAACTTACTGTTGCGACAAGGAGAGTACTCAGCATAGGCACTGAAATTCTGAATTGCTACATAGCAAGTGCCAACTGGATCCTTTGCTCGTGTCGGTCTAAGAGTTCTCCAGTGATATAAAGGAGCACAGGCCTATGAAACATTAAGGACAGAAAATGTGTTTTTGATGTAGGTTTCTTATACTACAGTTTGATTTGAATTATTAATTCATATATATGAATTTATGATAAATCAAGTTAAATTATTCGGTGAATTAATTGGCCTTCAGCATGCTAATGAGTACCATGGTCAACAGAGTTAAGTTAAACTTCCAAAGCCAATTTTTAATATTAATGCACCTTAGACTGGCAAAAGTTAAATATGTACATAAAAATGAGTTCCCCCCATAGAATCTCAAAATTTTTTGCCAAAGAAAAGGAAAATAGTTTCTAAAAGCAAAGAACTCATATTTTGTTTTCTTTTTTTAAATTGGACCTACATAAAAGCAAATGATTATTCCAACAGTGAATGAATCAGTGTGATGTCTTAAAGTGAGAAATATTTCCTTTCTTTGTCTAATTGTTGCTAAAATAAAAGTGACTTTCAAATCAAAGGATGTAGACAAGTGAGTTAACATGTTTTGTGGATGCTCCTAGTTTATCACTGAAGTTGCATCTTATGATTCTTTAAACGACTTTCATCTGAACATGCTACCGCATTTCCATGGTGTTTTTGGCTTGATTTTTTTAATTTCATGGTTTTTAGTCATGGCAAAGCTGAAGGGAAAAGACTGCATTTTATGCCTATCTTAGCAATTTTATAAGAGATGATCAGGAAGTCATTAAAAGAGCATGTTAATGACCTATAAACATTTCCCAGGAATTGAACACTAGATGCGAAGTCATCCAAGACTCTGCCTCTGCTTGTTATGGAGAAATTTATTGAGATAAACTCCAAGGACCTCAGACAACCTTTTTGAGGGAGGTGAGTTTATCCAAATCATTCTATAAATGCCTTCTCAGTTCTAAGGCGGCAAAAACCCAAAGGGTTAGGAATGAAAATGTTCCATAGTTATTTCCAGCTACCATATAGAGTGGCAAATTAAATAATGGTACATACTGTACAAATATTTGCTCATACTTGGAAGCCTCTGTTCAAATTTATTTAACCATACACAGCTCTTAACCTAGAGTTGTGCATATAAAATTTGCTTCATAGATGTATGTTGAATTAAATTGACCATGAAAATTCTGTCCAGTGTTTGCCTGATGGCAGCTCTAAAATGTTATCCTTTTTATGTCCGCTCGGTTTCACAATGATGTGCAACACACTGATGTGATGTGTTTGGGCTTTGACCCAATTCTTACATGTACGTCCATGATACCTGGATATTCATAATGATCCTTCTATAGGCAGCATTTTGCAGTTCTAATAATTATGTTGCATGGGGGAGAATTTAATTATTCATTCTGTGAAGGTTCAGCACTTGAAGGAAAAAGTTAACTCAAAATATAACTTATATTATCCTATTTCCCATCACATGATTGAAAAAAATGCAAACATGCCAAAAATGAACCATTTTTATTATGAACATGATGTATTATTTTATTTGCAATGGTTTTGAAGGTTTCTACAAATATTGAATAAAAGTATAACAATTACATATATGTCACAGATAAAATTTCAAGACTTACAAAAAATAATCAAACAGTACTCAAAAGATGTTTTTAACACCAAACAGTTATCAGATGGAATTAGTTTTTCTTTTCTTTTCTTATTTTTCTTAAGAGACAGGGTCTTGCTATGCTGCCCAGGCTGGTCTCAAACTCTTGGGCTTAAGCAGTCCTCCTGCCTTGGCCTCCCAAGTAGCTGGGACTAGAGGTGTAAGCCACCACTGCCAGCTTAGTTTTTCAATAAGTTCTACACCACTAAAGTATAAAAAAGTTCTTCCCAGTTCCGAAATATGAAAACTGTATATTAATGCAAATACAGTTCTACAGGGACTACATTGTAAATGCTGGATTTTTAACAGAGTATACTTTATACATTACCTGTTTTATGTCAAAATCTTTGGGGGGTTAACCACAGACTAAATAAAGCAAGGCATTTCCTTTAGATACTTATTATTATTAAATCATAATTCAAA